TCTAAATCTGAGGCTTGTATTATTTCTAATTGTGATTGATTGGTTTTAACGATAAAAGTACACTGTGTGTGATTGCTGGGTCGTCAACTAGCTTTTTCTTTTGTTCTTCTCCTTTCCAGCCCTCCTCATTCATGCTAATCTTCATGCTCTCTTAACATACAAAGTACCTTCTGGCTAGACGTGAACCCTACAAAGTAACATTATATTGTTCCAAACTAGTCAATGTATTTACTTTATTTTGAAATGGATGCATTCATTGTTTTATGATATTGAAATGACTCATTTGTAAGTTAGTATCGCTTGAGGTTTATGTTGTCTTATCTCTGTTTGAGTGTGTTATACCGGTTCGAATTTCACAGGAAGCACAAGTTCCTTCCTAAATAGTAGATTGATGAATGTTAATAACTAAGAAACCCAAGTTTTAAAAAATCATCCTGTTAACTCCTTTAAACCACAGAACAACACCAAACGTTCATTGTTTTTGAATGAGTAATGTTTGTTTGTTTATTTTAAGGAGAACTTAACGGAATTGAGTCCGATGCTTTGATGTGAGAAAAATAAATTAATCAATGAAATGACTCAGTTTCTTTGATTAATACTCGTATATAATATAATACTAAGTTATGAAGGTTATTTATGGTATTACACACGAACACATAAAGATAAGCATGTGTAAAATGTACTTGAATGAACATGTTTATATATTCTGTAGAACATAATAAGACAAAATAACTAGTTCTAATGACAGAATTCCTAAAATTAATAAAGTGATGGTTGTCAAATTGGTGTATAAAAGTTAAATAGACTTGTGTCCGAGGGAGACGATTAACTCACTTAATCGATTAGTTTATAAATCAATGTAGAAAGAAAAGCGGTAATATGAAGGCGTATGTTTAATATGAAGTGTAGAGTATATGAAAACCAATTTTATGCTTTAATCATTAGTAAGAATAACATGGATGGGAAAAGAATGTTGAGTTACAAGTTACTAATGTACCATCTTAATCTGAATTTTAATGCTGTCTAGAATTACGAATAGGTTGCAGAAAAAGCTAAGGGTGAACAGAAAACATGATTGTTAATTAACGCGGAGATTTAATGTTGGTTGTAAGCTTTAGGCTGGTTTTGCTACCAGAGTAGTTGAGATCATCGTCACCATCTATTGACTGATGACTTTTGAATTTTAAAAAAAGTACACTTCCGGATCCAATTACTACCAATCAATGTTGAAGGGTGTCGCAGAAAATAAATGTAATTAAAATTAATTCTGCAACGAAACAATAAAATCATCACAAATAAACAATTTTATCATAATAAACCTAACAAATGAGTAAGAATATGAAATGAGAACTGTACAGAATACAAATTAGATCAGTCAACATATAAACGCATGTTGAATATAGGAAAATAAGGTGTAATAACCAATCAGATCCAACTTAATCAGTTGATCTAAAGAAAATCCGACTTAGAAAAAATTGCTACCATCGCTATTGTATTCAATATTTAAAATAAAATTTAGTCAAGTGAGACAATAATGACCCCTACGATAAAATCTCATTTGCTTAAAGTAATAATGCTGGTAATGAGAGTGGTAGTAATAACAATAAAACAAAGAATGACCTCCCATTTTGTTTTAGTGTGGCGTAGAAAATACTATTTCCAAGTACGAAGATCCAAGTACGCGCACGCGTGTGTATGTATGTGTGCGTGTTAGAAAGAGGAACAATCTTTCATCACAATTTTAGTTTACTGTCTAATTAGTTTTTTATTAACAAAGACAAATAGCATAAAAAAGAAAACTTGAGATTCATTTTTGTATTGGTCGTTTGAATCTCCCCATTGATGTTTAGCACTGAAATTGATCAGTCTCTTATTGGGATATGTGCACCCTGTGCGGACTGTCTCTCTGTTGCCTTAATTCACAAACATTATAAACAGAGATAATTTAAATGTAACAAAAAAAGCATAAATAAGGGTTTATAAATGGGTGTTGGGGCGAATATATATATATATATATATCAGCTGAAAATATAGTTTCTTTTGGATGAATGAATCACAAAATAGAAAAGCTGGAGTTTATCAACTAACAGAATAAGCAAGAATTATTCACGTTAAAAAATATGAATGTCCATGCTTATTAAACACACAGATACACACAAACATAGAAATCATTAAAAAATCATTCCCTACTACTCTATCAAATAATTTTCGAAAGAGATTAATATGTGACGATTGATGGATCCGATTTGACGTAGACAGTATGTGAGAGAGAAAGAGAAAGCCCACTTAGGAATTACCACTAATAAGAAATCCATAACCTTTTTACACTCTCCTCTGAATAAAGTTTGGTTCGTATTGTGGTGAAATGTGATGAAGAAAATTACCATAACTACTTTATACAGATGGATAACAAAGCAGATGTTAGTTGGTACGATGTTTATTGAGTAGGAATATGATGCATAATATTAACAAGTAAAAATCGTTGTATTTCAGTAGTCGCGCAATATCATGGATCGGTTGAAGTTAGACATTAACACTGTTGGATGCCGGTCGAATCAGTGTATTCGCGCGCGAGACTGAAAGTCCTGGGTTCAAGTCCCGTGAGTGGGATCGTGGACGAGCACTGCTAAGGAGTCCCACACTAGGACGAAACGGACATTCAGTACTTCCACGTTTGCAATAGTAGTCTAACACCAATCTATTCATGATCTCAATCAAACACAACATTGTTTTCGTATGATTTTGATTCCTCCACTATGCATTATGTTGACTTCATCTTTTTGTTCTAATGTGACAAAGTGGATCAATGTATGCATGGCCCGAGCTTTCTCCACATTGATTATGACCGACTGAAGTCACTTTCTCACTTAAGAACAGTTTAAAGTAATTTTTAATAATTTATGAATTTAATCCATATTTTATAGATATTTTCACTTTTAAGAAATAGTTTACCAAACAGTTTAAATGGATATATTTTAATAAACAACTTATATTATATGCATCAATGCATTCGTTTACATGGTTACAAAAATAATTGACGTTATATCCTCCAGACGGTTTTTTCTCCGAGAAAAAAAGTGTCACCATTTCCCTTTTTTTGTGAATAGTTAACTGGAAAATAACATAACGAGTATCACATCATATGATGACGAAACTATGAAAAGTTCGTCAAAAATAAGCATTAAACTCATCATGTATTTAATATAATCATCTACGCTTTTTTTTCCCCTATACGTAAGTAATGAGTTAGCTATTCGAAATACATGCGCACACATGATTAAAAAAATCCAATCATACATGACGTCAAGCATTCATAAAACCATTGAAGTGTATTCAGTCATCCTTTGTATATTTTTAAAAGAGAAAAAGAAACATTTGAATCACATTGTGGTTATTGCGTCCATTCTAATTGAGACAAACATAAACACAAATATACAAACACTTGTTTCATTAAAAAACCTGTATTTTAATAACAGGATTAATTAACTGAACATCAAATTGATGATGAGTTTACTTGGTAAATATTTTGCTATTAAGTCAACCGATAAAGGTCAGAGGTATGATGAGAATCCGCCTGTGTATACATATTTCATATTAGTGTATCACAGAGAATTGATGAAATAATACTCATAACCTTAAGTAATGATATAGACAAACGTAGAGAGTATATTCGAGGAAAAACGAAGATAATGAAGAGTATTCGAGTAAAAAAATAATAAAAAGTGCTAAGTTCCAAGTTACATCAATCAAAGCACAAAATTATGGATTACAATTGATTTATCTAATCCAGTTAGAAGTTTTGTACAGAATTACATTTTTTCAACTTCGCATAAGGGATTCGCCTGTAAATAAATCCTAGTCCATTTTATTTGAATCAACGGCTACTCAAAAAGAAAATATTGACTTGGATGTAAATTATCACACGAAGTTAACATTAACCCTCGCTATAGTTATTAGACTGATCGAAAATACAGTGGGTTTTTTTCTTTGAATGTAAATAATATATTAAAAACCAAAGTAACAAGGTCGAAATAATATTAGATTAAAGGAAAAACCCTATAATGAGTAAACACCTAAAGTAGAATCTTGGTGATAATCAGATGATCTGAGAATGTCTCATGACGGTATTAGGCAAGCGCATATCACACAGATGTGACTTAATGATAGGTTAGGAGGAAATGACACAAAGACTATGTAACATGTTAAAAGCAGAAAGTTGGCTCTATGAAAAATGTCCCATCTTACCTAAACATATAATACTTGTGTATCTCTGAACCCCAATTTTCAAAATCGACAAACCTGAGATCTCAAGAACTGTGAACTAGTCATGGGTATTATTCAAAATTGAGTTTGTGTATATTGCTTACAAATACTAACTAATAGTAAAAAACGTAGCAGTCTTTAATGAGATACTGGCTAAACGGAATGATAAGAAGTATTCATTTAAGAAAAAGGTAAGTATTTAACATTTATTTCGTCCTTCGAAATGTTTATTTAAATGTCATCTAAATAACGATTATATATCATGATCCAGCAGCAAGCTTGAGATAAAGAAAACTATGTTACGCAATTTCCATACAATAAATTCAGTAATCACCTAGGAAATGTTCATAAATCTGCATTATAGTGACAAACTTATAAAGTTGGATAAAATTAAAGTATGAAAACGAACCAATCATATTCCAGGTAGTGACACTGGAATGTGTGTCCGATTCACTCAATCATAAGGTTACATAAAGTGCTTGCATCATAATTTAATGTCAGTTCATGATAAATATTATTAATAAGAAAAACTTAAACGCTAACTTTTATTTTGTCCTAATCTTAACCCCTAACCCCATTTGGAACTGAATGATTATGAGATTTCATGAAGTCACTGTTAGAGTCATTCCAAGTCATCCACATACTAAAGTCGAAATAAAAATCATTGTGAAATGTATTTATTATAGAACTAAATTATACTAAGGAATATAATATATGTTGAATATAATTGAACTCACTTTGTTCTGCTTTATATGTATTTGCTCTCCAAATAAATGAACATATCAATAATACAATTATCCAACCTTTACATAGAATATACATGATGTTAAGTTGTCATATTTTTAAACAAATAAAATAAATCTAATGTAGAATTTTAATAAGTTCCAAGTGTATATGCATCATAAGTATTTGATGATAATCATTATCCACTAAGCAAATTTACATTCATATCATATTAAGGATCCGTATAAAGTCAAATAATCATGCTTTGTGTAACGGGAATTTTTCTCTTTATGTTCAAAATTATATTTGTTCATTGAATTCATTCAAAAATTTTCAAATTTTCTAACCAATCAAATGATTATATTCATTGTACAAGGTCATTCATCATAAAATGAGTGGGTGTAAAATAAATTCCATTAATTTAATTGGTTTAATAATAATTAATGAAACAACGGAATCTATTCGTCTAAAATTCAATAACTATGGGTGGAAAGTGCTGGTGGGCGGCCCTATACTCCTCAACTAGGGGTAATAATAGGTATATGTAAGTAATTATATACTAGACAGATGGCATTGTGTTTACGTGTTCAAATCTCTTGATCCATTATAAACCTATAGACTAAACATCTGTTCATGGGATGGTATTAACTAGATCATAAAAAGAGAGACCATTTTGATAAATGACCTTTTTAAAATTAGTCTATTCTATGTAATAAAGGACAGTTAAAATTTATTTTTTTTTTTTAAATTTAATTTGAGGGTTCAATTATTTCTATTTTTAACCCTAATACATGTCAACCCTCATGTTGTATTCAGTTTTTGTGATGATTAAGTTAAAATCCTTTAAAGTGTTTATTTAAAAGTGATAGAAATTAATCTCTATTGAATAACCTGTAATTTTCAAATACAAACAATTTGTCAATTCTTGCATATTACCTAATAATCTTTATTGTTCTCCATTATTCTTTCCCGGCTCTTGAGAAAAGACTTTGCTGTATTGCGGAAAGTGCTGAAGGCAGTTAGCAATGTGTGTGATGAATCTTTTGAGGTCATAATTAATATGGTTGTGGATAGACATCTAAAGTCATGCAAACTCTTGGCAGGCGTTATTTTATCAGATAATAAACATCTCTTTCACTCTTATCTTTCTCCTTGTATATCTTCTGGTAGAACGAGACTTAATTACATTAAAATCCATGCACGCAAGCAAAAGTATAAAAGTTCTATAATACCTTACCTAGCAAATATACTCTGTGACGAACAGGTTGTTAGAGTTAACCCAATCAATAACCTGCATTCTTAACATGCCTCTAATTTGAAAAATTGTACAGTTTTTCGGGTTTTTTTTAAACCTTTTTTGTCTCTGTTACTGTTTTGCTTGTTGAAATACTCGGTGCTGAGAATTCTATATTGTACCAAAATATAATACTGAATAAAGCCATTAATAATAAGAATAAGAATAAACAAACAAATTTGTAGCTTAATGATTGTTAATATAATAACAACCGCTCAGTCATAAATATTTTAATCCAATCAACTAAGCATTTTCAAATCAAAATTTGTCTTCAACTTCTCGTTATCTATAGTACACATTACTTCCTTCAGGATTACAAATAAACTCCAATGACAAGTTATAACTATCAGTAAACTTAAATTAAACAAAAATTCTTGATAATCACTTTTAGCCATCAAATAAAGCCTAATATTTATCTAGATAATCTAAGGAGATTTTAATTCAATAATTTAGAGAGTTAAATTCATATAAAGGGAGACCTCAAAATCTTTTATTCTATCAAGCATATAAGCGTTGTCAGTAAGTAGTTTGGAAGTACCCCGTACTGACTTATATTACATAAATACTGATCATTTTCACAAGTAAAATAAACCGAAGAAAGAAATTAGTTACAAGATTATTTCCTTGAAAAGCTTGGACCGAATTGCAAGGCGAAACGTTGGGCTTACTACAAATTCTTTCACTGAGATTTTACAAATACAGTCTTCCTTTTTAATTATTACAAGATTTCAGTGGTTGAAATCATGCGTCAATTGAAGCTAGACCACCATGGAAAACCTGGAAGCACTGGACGGCCGTTTCGTCCTAGCATAAGACTCGTCAGCAGTGTTCATCCACCACCCCGCCCCTGCGAGATTCGAATCCAGGACCTATCAGTCTCGCATCAGGCACTTAACCAACTAGACCACTGAGCCGGTCGGCATCCAACGGTGTTAATGTCTAACTTCAACCAATCCACGAAGTTGCGCCACCGTACACCATTGTCTTCAATGAGTTGATATCTCACAACCGACCTGGTTGAACTCCACGAGTAACGACTTCTCACTAGAACTCCAGGAGTATCTCTTGAAATCAGTCACTAGTGAACAGATGATTATTATCAGAAGGGGTTTTTGTGGAGAATTTAGAAATTTCACTGGCTGAAATCATAAGTCAATTGAAGTTAGACTACCATGGAATACATGGAAGCATTAGATGGCCGTTTCATCCTATTGTGTTCAGAATTCTTTACAATAACAGTATGAATAGTACTGAATAGAATGTGATTATTGTTATTATCATTCCGAAATTGTATTTTTTTATTTATTTATCTAAAATGATTATACTTTCCACTGATTTAGTTAGATTTCCACTTGATCCTTAAGTCGAAAACTATATTTTTTTTAATATTTATTTCAAGTGTAATTCAACCATCTGAAAAAAAAATCAAATATGAGAGTTCTTATGTGGTACTTTTGTTCAAATAAACTGATGAAACGTAATAATAATAATAATAACGGTTTAAAAAAGAACAACTGAGGACTTAACTAGTTCATTTAAGTGGATATTCGTGCATATTATTGCATAATTTGAAGAAAAAATACATCATGAACAGTCATTGATTGAGGGATTAACGAAAATTATGGAGAAGTATTATTATTTTGAATCAAATTTAGAATGTATAAGTCTTATGGTGAGTAGAATTCAACTAGGTCATCTAGATTTAATCATGGTAATGTATTTCACTTGAGATGAAATTGTGCTATAGAGATTGATTTAATTTGTAGGTTATATTCGCTATAGATTGCTTACGGTTAAGGTAACATTGAGAATCGAGGAACACTGAACAGATATTTTGTCCTGGTATGAAATTTCTATACAGTGTGCACCTATGAACGCTCCAGGGATCGAACCCAAGATCTTCAAGTCGCAAAGTAGATCCTCAACCATTAAAACAACTTGAAGGGGATACAGTGTTATAATTTTAAGTTCAATCGATTTGTGATAAAAGATGAAGATCATTTGATTTCATTAACAACGATGCTTTTAATACCGAACATCACCAGTCACGATTTCTTAATAAAATATCAGGAAACGAGGGCAGAAAGTCACTAATGAGATGACTACTAAATTTTAGCTAAAGAGGTTTTATGGATATTGTTTATACAAAATATCCTTTACATAATTCAGTAATTTGGTGAATAATACATTGGTGACAGGCAATAGGTTCCAGCCTCAATGTGAACATCTAGACTGAGGTGTAGGTGTACTTACTGACAAGTTTAAAATAGAACGAATTGCCAGTCATAAATCCCACAGTTAACGACAATCCACATGTATTTTGTGTATTGAACTTTATTTTTACCATAAAATACACTAATATTGCTTTGAATTGTTAACCATACATCTTTTTTTAGTCTCTTACTCGCTTTACTAATGTAACGTGGTAACTTAATGAGATGCATGTTTTATCCACGTTTTATTATTATATTTGAACAAACCAACTTTTCTACGAAGTAATAATCGTAATAAACTTTAAACGTTGTTTTTCGATATTAAGATAAAGTACCTTTTTAGATCTAAGTAAGCTGTCTTTTATCTAATTTGATTGTACTCTAAACTGGGCTGTTTCACAATGGGACTCTTATCATTTATATGGAAAACATCACCAATAATTATGACATCTAGAAGTTAGTTATTGAACCATTTCACAAGTCTGAAGTCAATCTATTTTCATAATCTAATTATTAGAATTTTTATTTGGAGAGTATAAATGCATTCTGGACAGATACATTGATTCTGTCTCATAAACTGAATTATAATCATGATAAACATTGAGATGTTATTAATGTATTATTGGAAAGTGATATCAGTCTTACAACTAATTACACATCATGATTATTTTGTCTAATGTTTAACATCGATGAGATTTCATGGATCAAGATTACAAAGCGTTACCTAAGGGGATTCATACAAAATGAAATTTCATATCGACTGAGTTGAAAACTAGTTATAATGGGATCATGAACCGATCAACCAATCATAATTAAATCTAGGTAATATGCAATAATTTGTACTAATTTAAATCAAAATTACTACAATGACCTAATATCAGAAGTGATAAATTCTTTAGATAGTAAAACAAAGATGGCACAATTTTTTGATGGGATAATATGTGTATAGACTAAAAGTAATTCATATCGAGGACTGATATCAATCGGTAAACTATTAAAAAGTACGGAGCATTAATCAAATGTTTCATTCTGGTATGAAATTATTTATCTCGTAAGTCTAGACTATACCATTATAATACTGAGAAAATATTCTCCCAATTAATTGATCAAAACTTCCTGTTCAGAAAACCATTGTTATCGTTGCATTTTGACGAAAATTAATTGTACATTGAGAAGCCTCAAAACGCCCTAGTACAGCCGAGAGTGGAGAGAAGCAGTTCTTCCTCTCCAAATGTTCTCAAATGGCCACGTGCATACAACCACTGAAAGGGAAGTTCCACTCACTGCCTTCTCACGGATGGGGTGTTGTTTATGAAATTGAGAGGACAAAAAGTGAATTTCCGACAATTTAACCGGCTTAGTGGATATGAAGGATTCACCTAGGGGAGTTGGAAAACCTCGGTTCCAAACCAATGGTGCACATGGGCTCTAGGATCCTAACGAAACAAACGGCACATGCACCTATTGTTGGTCAGTGGCTACCATGGGACTGCATCCCCCGAAGATGCTCCACTGCTGAGTAGATTCGACCTTTAGATCATAAGCTTGGGGTGTGGTCCCCTAAGAAAACCTCCTGCTTATGTTTGGGCACC